CAAGAAAAGTGAAAATAGATATTGATTTTGTTCTCATCATCTTCGTCCTCTTCGTTGCATTTTCCAAACAACTACACATAATCATTTTTGTTGTGCATTCTGCTTTTTAGAGGTGATAACGTCCAAACATAGGATTGGTGTAATCGGTTTTGGGTTGAGAAATCAGTAGGTTTTTCTTAAATAAAGCTGTTAGGGTTTTATCCTCCAAGAATCTTGGATTTTGGGGGGTTTTGCATGAATCGGTCCATCACAGATTCAGCCGAGCGAAGGTAATCGAAGAACGAGTTGTTATGTCGGTTTAGTAGCGGTAACCGGAGGATTGTGAGAGGAAGATTCGGGTTTGAAGCGTTGGTGATTAAAATCAACCGGGAAAGATATGAAGAGTGTGGGGTTGTTCAAAGGGTGTGTCGTAATTGGAGGTTTATTCATCACGTTTGAAGGACTTGATTCAACTTGAATCAAGGCAAGAGAACGAATAGGCTCTGCATCAACAATTGGGTTTGATCTTTTGATTTCTATTGCTTCTCTTGTAAAAATTTACCAACGGATTATATATATACAGGTCACAATTCTATTTTTAGAATTGAGGGCAGACATACCCTGAGCGAGAACGACGAGGGAACTGCCTCAACAAATTGGTGTTCTCTCTTTATTTTTCAATTGCTTAATTTCAGAGTATGTGTGCAAACAATTGAGTTAATCAAAATTCTGATGTGAGTAGTGCTGATTTATTTTTGAATCCTATTACAATCCTTGATTGTAATTGACCACTTAAGCACTTCACTCACATATTGGAATTCACTTGTGGTGCCTTGCACACCAAGTGTTTGACTAATTGTGTGAATAATAAACGCTTGTGTTGTCTTTTCAATTTGATTATATTTTTCAATTATTGGAAATAGTCCAACCTCACAGTGAATAAATTCTGGTTGATGTGTATTCAAATTAGTGATTCTTAATCTCGTTTTTATCGGATTCCATAGGCTTTGCGCATATCCAATTTTTTTGGTAAAGGTTCGTTTTAGATGAATATAGTTCCTCGGTCACTTCCGCCTAAAAAATTTCTAAAAACCAAATATTGGTAATGCCGACTTTGTTTTTAACAAGTGATTTATTCACCACCCCCCACTCCCCTTCTAGACCTGCGTCATCGTCTAACACTACTACATGGGTCACCGGTGAAGGCGCGTGCAACTCCAGAGTGGGAACTGCGCCCAAACCAAAATGCCCCTGCTAGAGCCTCCTAGCTCCCCGGGGGGACTCCTCGAGGACTATCCTATACACCCAGGGAACTCATCGTCGTCCCTCGAGAATTCATCCAAGATTAACCTACCTGCCCGGGGGCTTCAACACTTGTCTCCGGGACATTCATCCTAACCCTACTTTTTCTTCTAGGGGTGCCCGGCGTATTCACCGGAAAACCCTGCGATCTTCCTGGGACATTCATCATGTCCACCATGGGACCGTCGGAAAGCAGGCAAAACAAGACAAAAAAGGTGAAAGACGGGACAAAAAATCCAAAACTTACTTGGAATGGTTGTTCTAGACGACGGATGCGGCGGTCGATACGGCGGCTAACGGTGGATGTTGCTATGCAGGGCGTGAGGAGACAGAAGAGAAAGAAAGCAGCGTCGAGAGCAGAGAGAGTGAAAAGTGGGAAATAGGGCAGGACTGGGCTATTTATAAGCCTAGCACGGACTCGAGGCTTCTCTAGGAACTCAAGAACCCCTACCCCTAGTTGTCCTAGCCAAGCAATGGCTGCCCTACACGTGGTAGTTCCAAAGACTCAGCAAGCCATTTGTCTCCCCGTCTGGCTCCCCGACATGCCTCCTAGGCTCCCCGTATGTCTCCTAACATCCCTAGCATACTTCCTCTCCTGGCACCATAAACGAGCCTTGACTCCATATGTCGGGCAGATGCACTCCTCCGAAGAGGACCTCGACATTTCAACATGCCCTTAAGCCACTACTCCTTCACCTCGGAGCTGCGACTTGGGGGGCTCCTGTTCTGGACTAGGCCAAGACATGCCCTTCTGTCGGGCAGGCCCAACCCAGTGCTAAGCTGATGAGGCCCAACAAATCCCAATTTCCTACGTCGGGGAGGAGCCTCAACAAGACCCATCCCCTTGGCAAAAGACCTCTGGCTGGGGAGGCCCACACGTTTTCCTCACATTCTCCACGTGTCCCCCACGTGGGGACACGTCATCAGGCAACTACCCACTTTCGAAAGAGATGGTTAGTCCACCTTCTAAAGATCACGGGACGGTTGATTCAGGGCGAAGACCACGTGCTGGTCTTCACTACGCCATGTAAGCCCTGGCAGTTACTTGTGTTGGGTTTGGCAATCCGGCCCAATGCAATGTAACCGCTGGCCATGTGTTGGGGTCATATTATAAATACCCTCTTTCACTAGAGGGTCGGGTATATTATTCTCCACACCTTTTCTCTATACTTTCTCTCTATAGTTATGGTACTTACTTAGGTATCGGAGCATTTTGCAAGTACACCCACCCACCCACCCCTTTCTCCTCCACAACTCCGGTGAAGGTAGCAGATCACGACGCATGACAGGTCACTTACACCTTTCTGATCATGTGAGATCACAAATTAATAACTTAAATTAAGTATATAATGAAATTCATGGAGTACCAATATTTGAGCAACACAATTGTTCATTAATCACATACAAAAACATTTAAAAAATCGAGTAGAAATGAGAAAATGATTTCAACGACAACCTCGAGTCATTTAGGATCTTTTACCTTGACTTCGATTTGTGTGGCTCCATTTGTATCTCTCACTTGATTGTTATTTCCATTTTTCCTACCAAATATTTTGAGAAGAAAAATCTCAATTAATCCATAATTCTTTTTTTTATATTTTTAAGAAAAAACATAACATTGTTCTATTAAAACGATAGAAGAAATAATCTATTATTTATGTTCAGGAGGTTGCCACATCAAGTATTGAATGATGTGGTAAAATTTAAGTTATTGAAGTTTGTATTATTGGTTGTTTTAAAATATAAACGGAAATAATTCCTTATAATTAAATATGGTGCAACGGCATTGAAGTAAAATAGGTACAAATTTTTTCACATAAAAGAAAAAAAAGGCAGAATGTTAGACCACCTCCAACGGTGGTTTTTCAAATTGGTTTGCCAGCTTGGCATTGAAATTGTCAACAAAAAATTGTTCCAGCTGGTGAACGTTACAAATATAAGCAATGGTTCTTCATTTTTTTTATTATTAAAATAATCATTTAGCCGTTGTGCAACGGCTTTATTTTTATTTTTTTTAACTTTTTTTATTTATTATAAATATAGGTTTGTTGGAAAAATTGTATACCAATCCTATTTTCTCTCACTTTTATTTACTCTTTAGTTTCAAATTTCTCTCTCACAATTTCATCATTTTATTCATAAATATTTAAGTTTCTTCTCATTATCATTTTATTTCAAATTTTCATCTTTTTATTTCAAATTACATTTGTTTAGGCCAAATGGATCCTAATCATTTTCATTATCAACAAGCTATGTTCAATTTCATGCAAAATTCTCAAAATCCTAATTCTCAAAATTCTCAAATTCCATCAGTACCACCAAACCCCGCCATGTTTTTTCCGTCACCAAACAATCCAAATATGTATCAAAATCCTAATCCTCAAAATTCTCAAGTTCCACAATTTTCTACTCAAGTTGGTTTTGAAAAAGAAGAAAGGGTTCTCGTTAAAAAAATCTCGAGAGCAATTTACAAGGGATGAGGATATATGTCTTATCCAATCATGGCTCAATGTTTCAAAGGATCCAATTGTAGGAGTTGATCAAAAAGCTGAGACTTTTTGGCATAGAATCGCTGTAAATTATAACCAGTATCGCAGGCAATTGCGAGAAAAGTTAAGGGGTCAATTAAAATGTCGATGGCATCGAATAAATGCGTCGGTTCAAAAATTTGTTGGGTGTTATAGACAAGTTGTTAATGGAAAGAAAAGTGGGACATCGGAGAACGACATCATGGCTGCTGCACATGTTTTTTATGCTCAAGATCAAGGTACAACATTCAATCTTGAGTATGCATGGCGATTGTTAAAAGATGAAGCTAAATGGGGAATCATCGGAGAATCGATTGGAAATTCTTCAAAAATGACACAGACTTCTGCTAGTGGGGCATCATCGGAGATCCCTGATACACCTTCAAGTTATGAGTTTAACTCATCATCCCTAATGGAGTGTCCAATGGGACAAAAAGCAGCAAAAAGGAAGGGTAAGGCAAAGGAAATTCCAAATGCACATCTGTTATTCGTATGTTGGCATATGGGTATCCCGCTGACATTGTAGACGAATATGTTTGAATCGGTGAAAGTACCTCAATCGAGTGCTTAGAAAGATTCGTTAAGGGCGTGAATGTTGTATTTGGGGCTGAGTATTTGCGAAAGCCTAACAACATTGATATTTAACATCTTTTACAAATGGGTGAGTCACGTGGCTTTCCAGGTAAGTTGGGTTCCATTGATTGTATGCACTGGGAATGGAAAAATTGTCCTGTTGCTTGGAAAGGACAATTTTGTCGAGGTGATCATGGTAAACCCACAATCATGCTTGAGGTTGTGGCATCACAAGACTTATGGAATTGGCATGCATTTTTTGGTATTGCAGGTTCTAACAATGACATTAATGTGCTAAACCAATCTAACGTGTTTAAAGATATTTTGGAAGGACATGCTCCCACTATGCAATATACAATCAATGGAACACCATATAATATGGGGTATTATTTAGCGGATGGTATATATCCTGAATGGGCTACATTTGTCAAGACCATTTCAATGCCACAGGGAGAAAAGAGAAAATTATTTGCTCAACATCAAGAATCAGCTAGAAAAGATGTGGAGCGGGCATTTGGAGTGCTCCAGTCTCGATTTGCAATTATACGTGGTCCAGCGCGTGCTTGGCACATGGAAACCCTCAAGCATACAATATATGTTTGCATCATATTACACAACATGATTGTTGAAGACGAACGACACACATATGGAGGTGATTTTGATTACTCTTATGATAATGTAGATGACAACAACTCAACAACTGAAACATTTAACGGTCCCCATCTGAATCTTGCAACAAGGCTACAAAGAAGAGCAAATATTCGTGAAAAACAGGTTCATCGCCAACTTCAAGGAGATCTGGTCGAGCATATTTGGGAACGTTTTGGACATAAGGAAGATGAAACTTAAATTACGAATTATGTGATGTTATTTATTTTTATTATTTTTAATTATGTGATGTTATTTATTTTTGTTGTTTTTAACTATGTGACATGTATTTAAATTTAATTTTAATTATTATTTTCAATTTTATGTTTAATTTTAATTTTATGTTTAATTTGTATTTATATTAATTAAAATTTAAATATTTAAATTATAATTTTAAATAAAATAAATTTAATATAAATAATATATGTTAAGTAAAGTGGTGGGACCCAATATGGGTTCTTTGGAGTTGCACCATTGGAGTGAAAATTGAATGAGTTGCTTTAAAAGAGTGGGTCCCACAAAGAACCCAAAAATGGGTTGCACCATTGGAGATGCTCTAAGAGCATCTCCAATGGTGCAACCCATTTTTGGGTTCTTTGTGGGACCCACTCTTTTAAAGCAACCCATTCAATTTTCACTCCAATGGTGCAACTTCAAAGAACTCATATTGGGTCCCACCACTTTATTTAAAATATATTATTTATATTAAATTTATTTTATTTAAAATTATAATTTAAATATTTAAATTTTAATTAATATAAATACAAATTAAACATAAAATTAAAATTAAACATAAAATTGAAAATAATAATTAAAATTAAATTTAAATACATGTCACATAATTAAAAACAATAAAAATAAATAACATCACATAATTAAAAACAATAAAAATAAATAACATCACATAATTCGTCATTTAAGTTTCATCTTCCTCGTGTCCAAAACGTTCCCAAATATGCTCGACCAGATCTCCTTGAAGTTGGCGATGAACCTGCTTTTCACGAATATTTGCTCTTCTTTGTAGCCTTGTTGCAAGATTCGGATGGGGACCGTTAAATGTTTCAGTTGTTGAGTTGTTGTCATCTACATTATCATAAGAGTAATCAAAATGACCTTCATATGTGTGTCGTTCGTCTTCAACAATCATGTTGTGTAATATGATGCAAGCATATATTGTATGCTTGAGGGTTTCCATGTGCCAAGCACGCGCTGGACCACGTATAATTGCAAATCGAGACTGGAGCACTCCAAATGCCCGCTCCACGTCTTTTCTAGCTGATTCTTGATGTTGAGCAAATAATTTTCTCTTTTCTCCCTGCGGCATTGAAATGGTCTTGACAAATGTAGCCCACTCAGGATATATACCATCCGCTAAATAATACCCCATATTATATGGTGTTCCATTGATTGTATATTGCACAGTGGGAGCATGTCCTTCCAAAATATCGTTAAATACGTTAGATTGGTTTAGCACATTAATGTCATTGTTAGAACCTGCAATACCAAAAAACGCATGCCAAATCCATAAGTCTTGAGATGCCACAGCCTCAAGCATGATTGTGGGTTTACCATGATCACCTCGACAAAATTGTCCTTTCCAAGCAACAGGACAATTTTTCCATTCCCAGTGCATACAATCAATGGAACCCAACATACCTGGAAAGCCACGTGACTCACCCATTTTTAAAAGATGTTCAATATCAGTGTTGTTAGGCTTTCGCAAATACTCAGCCCCAAATACAACATTCACACCCTTAACGAATCTTTCTAAGCACTCAATTGAGGTACCTTTCACCGATTCGAACATATTCGTCTACAATATCAGCGGGAGACCCATATGCCAACATACGAATAGCAGATGTGCATTTCTGCAATGGTGAAAGACCCATCTTACCAGTTGCATCGACCCTCATTTGGAAATATTCATCATGATTGCCGAGGGCATCTACAATTCGAAGAAACACATGCCTATGCATTCTGAACCTTCTTCGGAATTGTACATCTGTGTATACTGGATTTTCTGAGAAGTAGTCATTGAATAACCGATTGTGCCCTTCTTCACGACCTCGATCTACCGTAGTTCTTCTCTTTGGCCTAGAGGAACTTCCAAATTGACATTCATTTTGAAGATGTTGTTCTTCATCACTGTCGTCCATTAATTCTTCTTCAACTAACTCCCAAAATTCTTGATCGTAATTATCTGAATTGTCTGAATCCATATTTTAGTGAGGAATAAGAAGAGAATGAGAAAACAATGACACAAGTGGTAGTATATATAATGGTTTGAATAACGGCTAGTTATTCATAACGGCTAATTATTCATAACGGCTAGTTATTCATAACGGCTAGTTTGAATAACGGCTAGTTTGAATAACATAAAAATTTAAAGTGGTACTAACTACAATCCATAAAATTTAAAGTGGTACTAATGACATAGAATTTGATAAATTAAAGTGGTACTAATGACCATTTTACATATAATTTAAAGTGGTACTAACTACAATCTATAAAATTAATATAAAATAAATAAAATTAAAATTAAACATAAAATTTAAAATGATAATTAAAATTAATCTCAAATACATGACATACAATTAAAAACAATAAAAATAAATTACATAACAATAATTACTCAAATTTAAATATAATTTAAAGTGGTACTACAGTCCATATTTTTTTTTCATTTTATTACAATATTTTTCATGAATATCTCGTTGACTTTTGTTCATAGTAGAAGTGTCTTTCATCATGATTTGCATTACCTTTAATTCTATCTCGTCCTCCTTACTCTGCGCAAGTCTTTCCATTGTTTCTGCTCTTTTATTCCTTGCATCTTGCGTTGCATTTGAAATTTCCTTTGCCTTACCCTTCCTTTTTGCTGCTTTTTGTCCCATTGGACGCTCCATTGGTGATGATGAGTTAAACTCATAACTTGAAGGTGTATCAGGGATCTCCGATGATGCCCCACTAGGAGAAGTCTGTGTCATTTTTGAAGAATTTCCAATCGATTCTCCGATGATGCCCCATTTAGCTTCATCTTTTAACAATCGCCATGCATACTCAAGATTGAATGTTATACCTTGATCTTGAGCATAAAAAGCATGTGCAGCAGCCATGATATCGTTCTCTGATGTCCCACTTTTCTTTCCAATGACAGCTTGTCTATAACACCCAACAAATTTTTGAACCGACGCATTTATTCGATGCCATCGACATTTTAATTGACCACTTAACTTTTCTCGCAATTGCCCACAATACTGGTTATAATTTGCAGCGACTCTATGCCAAAAACTCTCAGCTTTTTGATCAACCCCCACAATTGGATCCTTTGAAACATTGAGCCATGATTGGATAAGACATATATCTTCATCCCTTGTAAATTGCTCTCGAGATTTTTTTTTAACGAGAACCCTTTCTTCTATTTCAACACCAACTTGAGTAGAAAATGGTGGAACTTGAGAATTTTGAGGATTAGGATTTTGATACATATTTGAATTGTTTGGTGACGGAAAAAATATGGCGGGGTTTGGTGGTACGGATGGAATTTGAGAATTTTGAGAATTAGGATTTTGATAATTTTGCATAAAATTGAACATAGCTTGTTGATAATGAAAATGATTAGGATCCATTTGGCCTAAACAAATGTAATTTGAAATAAAAAGATAAAAATTTGAAATAAAATGATAATAAGAAGAAATTGTTGGAAAAAAATTAAATAAAGCCTATATTTATAATAAATAAAAAAGTTTTAAAAAAAAAATAAAGCCTATTTATAACAAAGCCTATATTTATGTTAAAGAGCAAATAAAAAGGAGAGAAAATAGGAATGATATAAAAATTTTCCAACAAACCTATATTTATAATAAATAAAAAAGTTTAAAAAATAAAATAAAGCCGTTGCACAACGGCTAAATGATTATTTTAATAATAAACTAAATTAAGAACCGTTGCTTATCTTTGTCACGTTCTCCAGCTGGAATGTCATTTTGTTGACATTTTCAATGCCAAGCTGGCAAACCAACTTGAAAAACCACCGTTGGAGTTGGTCTTAGTTTGTCAAGAGTGATGACACGTAGGAAAAATGTATGACATGGCACAAATGTATTACATGGCAATAAAGCAATGAGATGTCAGAAGAAATAGTTTGGGTATTTTCTTTTTTTTTAAATTTTATCAAAAAGATTTGGATTATGCTTTAATAAATTATAAATAGATTGTTTTCCCTTTAAATCGTGTGTGATCAATGTGAACTATGTATTTGTTTGTTTATCATTCTTTTCAAGTATTTCTCTCTCTCATACACACACATAATAGTAATTAACTTGAACATATCAAAACTCATCAAGCTAGAAGATTAAAAGGTCTTGTGTTATGTAGTCAAAGATAATGATGATAAGACTTAAAGCATCATAGTTGTGAAAAATATAAAGTGTGAAAGTTTTTCTAGTCGTGTCCGTTGAGTGACCAATGTCTTGTAAAGACACAATGGTCCTTCTAAAACTACTAAGGCAAAATCACAAACACTAAAAACCTTTAAGAGGCCTCTCTTATTTTTTTAATATCATCTAAAAATATTTTTAAGACCTAGCTAATTGATTAAGGAATTGTTTGACTAATTAGAGAGCTTTTTAAATTGAATAATTGTTTATCCCTAAAGTTCTAATTGATTATTTTCACTTTGTAAAATACAATCAATTGGGTTAGTTTCTTAATGATTGTTAATGCCTAAATATCAATATCTTCTATTTGTTGCTTGAACAGCAGAAAATTGAGGTACAATAATTGATTGGCCTAATTGATCATGGTAGTTAATTCTCTCATGGAATGCTTTCAAATTTAAACCATATTTTAGCCTATAAATAGAGAGCTTCTCTGTAATTTCAAATCACTCAGAAAATGATATTTAGTTTGAGTTTCTCACTCACTCTTCTTTTTCTATAAATCTCTTGTTGTGAATTATGACAAAATTCAATATCAATTTGTGAGGCAAAGAACAATAGTGTTGCAGTGAGAATCGTGATACCAAGCTATTGATTAACTTGAATCTTTAATTCTTAAATTCACAACCGGACTTTAATTTATCCAAAAAGGAAAGGTTTAAAGAAAGAAAAAACCTATAAAAATGCAAAGCAAAAGGAAGGCCTAAAGCTAAGCAAAGAGAGATCTAAAGGTTCGGGGGTTGGTTATACCTAGGGAAGGTGTTAGCATCCTAAGTATCCGTAGTACTCTACAGGAACCTCTTGTTAATATTTGTGTTTGCTAAAGTTTGCTTGCTAAGAGAAAAGTGCTAAGGTAAAGATCTAAATTATATACAAAATATGTACAAAGTTTGCTCGCCAAGATATCGCATCTCGTGCCTACGTATCCTGACGGGAATGGAATCAGAGCAACCGTAGTTCCCTTATCTAAGGGTAGGGAACTCTTGACTGTGGTCAAGGTTCCAAAGGGATGTAAGCATTCATAGGGAAGTACTTACATGGAGTGCGGCGACTCCTGAATCTACGTTGAGATGGTTATTGTAGAGAATATCCATGGCGGGACGCTAAATATGAGTACGGCGACTCAGGCCCTAAGGTTAGGATAAAAAGGTAAAAGATGTCCACGGCGGGACGCTAAATAGTGCGCAGCGACTCTAATCCTAAAGTTAGGATAAAGGATAAAGGATGTACACGGCGGGACGCTAAAAGTGAGCACGGCGACTCAAATCCTAAGGTTAGGGGTACACAAGGGAAATGACCTAAAGTTAAAGATGACATGACAGTCAACAAGGGGAAAACCTTTCTTTGGAATCAGGGAGTAAGAAACAACAACAAAGAGCAATGGATAAAGCATTAAGCATGAAAATAAAGTTATGAGTAAATGGTGTACACCAGATATGAACAATAGAATGATCAGAAAGGAAATTGAAATCGAAAATTAAACCAAATATAGCCTAAGCAAAAGGATCTAATCAACAATCATTAAGTTAAAATAATTAAATCGATAAAGAGATTAATTAATAACAAATAAAATCTAAAATTATCAAAATAAATTCTAAACACATATATCCTAAACATAAATCAAAATGAAATGTACTAACTTCTAAACTAACTAAAAAAATGTGATTTTTAATTTTAAACCATTAAACAAAAAATAACATTGAATTAAAATTAAGAAAAAACTAAAACAAACTTAAGAGGTGTTTTAAAGAAAACAAAACCATTAATCCTAAACAATTATACACATTAACAAAAAAATTATATGAAATAAATAAAAGGAAAAAAGATGGGCCAGGTACAACCCTATTTAACCTAAAGCATCACCAAAACCTAAAGAACACAGAGCAAAGAAACTACTGGCTTCTAATTTCCACACGATTCATTCTTCAAGACATCAAAACATGTCTTGTAGGGTTGATCTCTCTCGCCTCAAACTCCTTCACATGGGGACCTCTTCAGGTTTGTTTTCTCCCAATCGCTTCCCTATTCTCTCCGCGGAGGCATTACGGATGATAGCGGTAATTAAGGCAGTTTGTTCCTCAATCTCATCTCTCAGTCCTGTTCACCATCTTCTCAGCTCATTCTCTCTGTCTTGTGAACCCTTCTCACAACAACCTTCTCAACTCACGGTGAGATCCAGTATTCTTCTCCCTCTCGATCTTCGATTTGAAATCCGACGGCGGTGGGTTATACGACGTAACGATAACAGATGCGCTTTCGAAATCGATTGAGTTGTGTTTTCAGTGAATGATGGAAGGATTGAGGTTTAAAAAATGGTTTTGGGGTTTATGTATAAGGACGGTTGGGTTTACTATGAGTAATCGAAAAGGGTTTGTAGGTGAAGAGGATTTGATGAAGCTGAGTTCGATAATGACGAAGAGATGGTAACCGTCTCTCGAAAGCTTGTGCGCTGCAGCGGTTTATTTTCTCAGACGCTCAATGTTACCCTTACTCAACTTACTATGAATCTCGCTCAAATCCGCTCACCGTAATCGAAACACGAACGCACAAATCAAAATAACAACGACTCAACCAAAGATCATCGAGGTCACATCACTAGCGTCATAATCATGAGATTAGAAGGGAAGTTCACATACATGTGTGATGACTGTCGCTACGCGAAAAAAATGACACAGAGTCGCCACCGGATTTTATTTATCCCAAGGAGGGAAAGGGAAATAGCGATAAAACCTTTGGGAAACGAGCGTGGTCATCGCAACCAAGTCTTAGGGTTCGGGAGTCGGTTATACAAGGGGAAGGTATTAGCACCCCCTCACATCCATCGTACTCTATGGGAACCTCCTAGGTTATTTAGCGTGAATGGGTGTTTTTATTAAGAGTTTGCTTGCTTAAAGAAAAGAGGGGTTGGTTTATTTATTTTAATGCTCACCAAGGATTGTGGCCCTTGTGCCTACGTATCCTCACTTAAAAGAAGTAAAGAATCAGAGCTTCGTAGTTCAGAGGCTTACGAAATAGTTGTTTGTTGGTTGATTTTATACCTTGAAAAAGGGTTTTTTGATTGATGCCCTAAGGCGAAAAATAGTTTGATGAGTCGATGTTATTTTTAGGTTTTTCTTAGAGAAGAATCTATTCTTGACTAGGATTATACAAAAGACTTTGGATAGAGATGAATTTCTCGAATAACCAAGTCGAGCGCCTTGTATTCAAAACATTCGGAACGAGTGTAGGAGGATTCCATTTTCATTCCTTCTCTACCACTTTAAAGCTCATGGTGCATAATTCTAATCGTATATTTTATTGTGTTTTGGATTATTATGAGAAAAGAGAACCACTTGAAGTTGGATCAAGGTTTATTGTTTGTAAAGATACATTTGAAGCGATACGGACAAGGTCGGTGGCAATGCACAAGGCAACCGACTTACAAGGTTGAAAATGGCTCGACAAAATCGAAAGTTTGTTTTCGAAAATGGTTTTTGGAATCAAAAGTCAACAAGGACAATAGCAATATTCACACTAAAATCATGCAAACATATGGGGTTAGTCGGCTAAAAAAAGTGAGACATGCAAAAAAAAACGGCACGAAGTGCCATCAAAGAGTTCGTCGTGCGAACTCCTTGAGAAAAAATTTTTTGGAAGTAAAATATCAAAAAAAGTGAGAAAACAGTGGTGTAACACGGGTGGTCGTGTTGTGTGACACGACCCGTGTCATAAGGTGCATGCAATATGAGTTTTTAAGTGTGAAGAGGTGTGACACGGGTGACCGTGCTGTGTGACACGGCCCGTGTCATAGGGTCTAGGAGAAAAAATGTTTTTGAGGCCACCCGTGTCACACCGCTGTTTGGCCTCAAAAACATTTTTTCTCCAGGACCCTATGACACGGGTCGTGTCACACAACATGGTCACCCGTGTCACACCTCTATCACACTTAAAAACTCATATTGCATGCACCTTATGACACGGGCCGTGTCACACAACACGGCCACCCGTGTTACACCACTGTTTTCTCACTTTTTTTGATATTTTACTTCCAAAAAAAAATTTCTCAAGGAGTTCGCACGGCGAACTCTTTGATGGCATTTCGTGCCGTTTTTTTGCATGTCTCGATTTTTTTAGCCGACTAACCCCATATGTTTGCATGATTTTAGTGTGAATATTGCTATTGTCCTTGTTGACTTTTGATTCCAAAAACC